TGATAAAGACTAAACTAGAGGGCAGAAAAATATGTTCCAGATTACAACGGACATCTTCAGGACAAAATAGCTTATACTGACAAAACATGGTAAATGGTTCCCATTACTTCTAGAAAAAACCCTCAGAGATGAAAAATTCCCCTGCTGCTTTATTCCCCATTTGCATGCGTTTCATTACTGAGGGATATTTGAAGGATTCGAAACGAGGTCTTCTATACCCTTATCTGCATTTTGTCCTTTTTTTTATTCACTTCACTCTTTTTCTTCATTCTTTTTTTCTCTTGAACTCCCTTGTGACTGAATCTAACCACCCCTTATCAACACAACTTAATGAGCTCCCAAGCATTACCGGCGTCAAACACACACACACACACACACACACACACACACACTCAGTCACTCTCACTCACTTTATCAGGCTGGTAGCGTCTACCATCTATTTAGTTTTCTAGTTCCCCTCAGTCTAATTGTGCATTTATTCTTTTACTCTCTAAAACAGCTCATTAGTGTTTTATATCAGAGAGAGAGAGACCTAGTTTTAATGACCTTCAGAAAAGCAGCAAAAAATGCATTAAGTAACGGGGAGAAAAGGCCACAGAAAGAGAGCAAAAGAGTCATGTATCTGCATATATCTCGCGTCTTTAATGTGTGACTCTTCTCAGATGATTAAAATTACACACAAACCACCCTTAAAAGATAATCTATGAAAGACTTCTGTGCATTTCTGTAGTGATAAAAGCATACATGCACATATCAAGACATTAGCAATAAAGTGATACAGGGTGAAATGTCAGGGAATGATAATAATGGACGGGCGATTGATGCTCTTGATCCAGTTTAAAGTATTTGTGTCTACAGTTTGCTCTGAACAATTGTGTCTTCATTAGTTTTGTTGATTGGCTGGTTGACATAATGATCAGGGAACACTGAATTGAATGGATGAAAACTGAATGAATGCTGTAGAGATTCACATTATCTCACTCTGACAGTTTAAATATTTATTTACATAACCTTCCTTTGATGGCATAAATACTTACTTTACCTCTCTGATGGTGTTGATATTGACTTTACCCTTGTGATACTGTAAACATTTACTTAAGTGTTATCCTGTAACTATTTACATGATCTCAAATCAGTGCTGTAACTATTTACATTATCTCTCTGTGAAGCTGTAAACTTACATTAGCTTACTGTGTTGCTGTAAACATTCATAGTATAACAGTAAATATTTACTTAACATCACTGCAGTGTTGACTAAAACTAAAACTATTCAAATATATTTTCTGTTATTGAAATAAAGATGAAATAATATAAAAAAAATAGATGAAAAAAAAAATCTAATTCCAAAATGACTAAAACTGACGTAAAAATAAAGCTGCATATATACATATATATATATATATATACACAAAATCAAATAAAAAAGCACGTAACAAAATTACTCAAATTTAAACTACACTTAAAATTTCAATATATGAAAATATATAAATAAATAAAAGCTTATTCAAAATATGAATAAATACAATAATAAAATATAAATCATTCTAAAATATTGCTGCATCACTGTAATGCTGTAAATACTTAATTTATATAATAATAAACCTCTCACTAAAGTTTTAAATATTTACAATATCTCTATAAAAGTGTACAATGTGAGCTATAATGTTGTGAATATTTACAAAATCTTACTGTAATGTTATACCCTATAAATATACACTATACAATGTTCACTGTAATATTGCATAATAGAAAGCCTTTTGTAACCTTTCGTTTTCCCGTATTTTTGACAGATGTTCATCACAACATAACTTCATTCAGACTGAAGATGAGCATCATGTGCATTTTCCATGTCGGCTTTTGATATTTACCATAATTACCTTAGCACGTGAAGGCTCCATTAGTAAGGGAAGATGGTGGAAGTTTTGAATTAGGTTTGGTTGAAAGATAGAGCTGGGTGTCATCTGCGTAGCAATGGAAGTGCATCTGATATTTACGGAAGATGTAACCAAGCGGGAGAAGATAAATAATGAACAGCAGGTGTCCCAGGACAGAGCCCTGGGGCACTCCTGTGAGGACAGGGACTGAATGAGAGGTGAATGATTTTAACTGAATGAACTGAGTGCGGCCTGAGAGATATGAATAAAACCAGTTAAGAGGTGTGTTAGTAATACCAATAGAGGGGAGTCTGTCTAGAAGGATGGTGTGTGAAATTGCATCGAAAGCCGCGCTCAAATTAAGCAGAAGGAGAATGGATAGTAAACCAGAGTCAGCAGCCAGGAGAAGGTCATTAGTGATTTTAAGGAGTGCTGTTTCTGTGCTATGAAGAGGACGGAAACCAGACTGGACTTTTTTCGTATAGATTATGAGTATGGAGTTGAGCAGCAACTATTTTTAGAGGAGGAACGATTCCAGTGGTAAGAGAAGAGTGAATGTCTGTGAATGTCTGTGAATGACTGATGTCTGTAATGAGAGGCGACAGAAAAGGGAAAGTGGCAATTGTGTCAACATAACTAATCAAAATAATGTTTTCAACTTATAAGGTTTAATAAAATCAATAAATCATAATATTTACTTGCAACCATGCATGATACATTTATTTAAGTTGTAGTAGGTCACCTTAATTTCTGTTCGTGTAGTGTTGTAGTAGGTTTAAACTGTGACACACACAAACAATTATAGAGGCCATTCAATGTGCATTTAATCTGTTTAATTAGCTGTTTATCATTCAGAACAATCTACGACTGTATGACAATCCTTACAACAGCTAAATAACATCTAGTTTTATAAATGTACTATTTTTAAAAAATAAAAAAACACCAACTATTGTAGGTTAATATTCCAAGGTCGTTTGAACAACCTTTATAACCATGAAACAGTCCTATAAAAAGAGCAAAATCCATTATCATTAAACTGTTCTATGATTGCTATTATCTCATACTAACCACAAAAGAGAACTCCTTCATATTCTTTTCATCTGTTCTTGAGTTTGTTTTTGATGAGAAATTGGCAACATACCTCAAACATTAACATTAACTGCTCTATACCACCTACATCACTATCTAATGCATCCTATGTAAACATACACTTTAATTTAAGACTAAAAAGAGTCTCTGTAGAAGTAAGCTAATTGATCGTTTGTTCTCTGATACAAAAGAAGCTACAAATTCGCACTACCTGACGAAACACAGTCACAATGTTCTAGGGAGCAGATGCTCTCGTGGTCTTGAATAATCCCTTGAGGCTTTGCTTGCCTAAATGACCCTTCATACGAGAACACAGAAGACGGGTCTCGGTTGAGCCGTTAAGATCGCCACTCCCGATGCTTTTCTTCAGAAATCTCATAGAAAGGTGTTTGAATGCACACTTCAAATACAAAGATACATGATAAAATCCCTGTGGTCTATGGAGACTGTGTCTTTACTCTTGAAGAGTGTTTAAAAGTCCTGTGTCTCTGTGGAAGTTCATCTAGGCAGTTTCCAGGTTATCGCGGATCTTCCAGTTTTCTCGAAAAACTAAAAAAAAAATTTTTTCTTCTCCTATTGGTGCACATATGATTCTGTCGTATGCTGGTTTAAAAGTCACATGATGATGAGCCTCCGTAAAGAAAAGATGCCGATCCGTATATTCACACCATCAGTGTATTTCCCTGTTTGCCGAGTTTCAGGGCACTATTGAAAAGTTAAAAGGATAGTTCACCCTAAAATAAAAACTAAGTCGTCATTTACTCACCCTGGTGTTGCATTTCTCAACATTTCTCATTTTCGTTTAGTAGTAAAGTACTAAAGTAACTAAAACTATAGACGTTTAAAATACCAACAAGAATGATTAAAACCTTACCTAAAATTAAAAATATGACAATCTATTATAGTATATCAATGATACTAAATAAAAGAAGTCTAAACACTATATTCTAAGTCTTGTAAAGCCACACGTTCATCAGCTTTGGGTGAGAAACAGACCAATATGTGAATTGAAAATGCATATCTCTCAAATATCATTCAATTTAAATACAGCACATCAAGATGGATCAAATTTGATGTCAATGACCATCAATGCATCTTCTCTTTCAGAAAATGTCTTACCACTTACACATCAGCTTGTCCTGGGGCTCAATGCAACAACTCTGTGCCTTATCTACTCCTAAAAGGTCTATATTAGTAACTTACACAAATAATATACACCTTTTAGGGCTAGATATGTTACAAAATTGTTCCTTTATGGGTACTGCCTCAGTCACAAGCTAAAGGTATGATTTTTCACATTCTTTCTGACAGTGAAGATGCACAATATTTGAAGCAAAAATCTGTATCAATACAATTTTTGGTTAACAATGACTTTTCCTCACATAAATCTATCATATGGGTTTAGAGGACTCAGACTGTGGTACTTTGATGTGATTTCAGGATCTTGACATCTAAAGCACCCATTATGGAGAATTGTGCAGTATTTCTTCATTCGAGTTCAATGCAAGAAAGTACGGAGCCCCTAAAGGGACAAAGCGATGGGGGAAAAATTATGAGATGGGAGGAAAATGTATATTTCAGTGCTTTTGCATTCACACCCAAATGTTTTGCGTTCCCCTGAGAAACTTTGCTTTCACTCGTACACCTTTTGAGTTCTTTGCAAGTGAACACAAAGTTTCTCAGGGGAACGCAAAAGTTTTGCGAGCGAACGCAAAGTTTGTTTCTAGGGAGAACACAAAAGTTTTGCAAGCATATGCAACGTTTCTCTGTCAAACGCAAAGTTTTTATGGGGAACGGAAAAGTTTTGAAGAGAACGGAAAAGCATTGACATATTTTTTCCTTCCCATCTCATATTTTTCCCTCACCATGTCCCTTTAGGGACTCCATAAGAAAGAAAGACATGTTTTTTTTTTTTGAGTGAACTATTCTTTTAAATTAAAAGCAAATATGTTAAATTCAGTATGTTTTTCCTTGCAAAACTAAATTTCTAGAGCTAAAGTGACCTACCAAAGTTATTTTGATCCTGTCGATCTTCTTTTCCTCTAAATTAGTGAGGTTTCAGAGTCACAGAGTAATAGTTTTGCTAGTTCTTAATAACCTACGGCGTTCTTGTCATTCTTGTGCAAACGTTTTTTCCAGTAGTTCTCCTGAAGTAATATTGCTACAAGTTTCGCGGCCGTCCAGTGAAACCCGTACACTTAGAGACCCAGTGTTGTCTTCATACACAAATCTCAATAGGAGTGGTCATCATCACTTTGCTCTTGTCTTGGCGGTTGGGCGACGGGCTTTTGGAGGACTCTTCCCTTGAGGAATGTGGTTCGGACAGGATGCTACGTTTGAGGGGGGTGGGGCGTAGACAGGAAGTGCCTGAAGGGGGGGAGGGCTCTGTGTGTCTGTGGGCGGAGCAACGTGAGGCTCCTCCCCTCGGGGCCCTACAGGACGCTCTGCGGCGATGATGATTCAGCAGGTCGTATTTAAGGAAGTAAAACACCTCTTTAACGCCACAGCGTCGCTCCGGCTCCAACGCCAACAGCCGGCCGAACATGCGTAGCGCATCGTCAGAGAAACGCCTCCACTGGGAGGGAACGGCTCCTGGAGGACACGCCCCCCGTTGCCAGCGCTGAAATTCGGAAAAGAATGCGTCGCTAGGCAACGCCGCTTCCCATGGGAAGTTTCCCGTGAGCATGCAGAAGAGCAGAACTCCGAAAGCCCACACGTCCTGGGTCGTCGCCACGACGATGCCATCCGAAACCGAGGCCTGGCACACCTCGGCGGCAGTGTATGGGATGGTGCCGCTGATCCGCTTGATCCGGCTGCCCGCCCGCCGTGTCATTCCCAAATCTGCCAATTTCACACGCCGGCACTCGCGGTCGAAAAGCAGAACGTTTTCTGGCTTGACGTCACGATGGACGAGACTCTTGCTGTGCATGAAATCCAGAGCCAAACCCAGTTGCTGAACACAGCGTTTGACCATCTCCTCCGGCAGGCCGGCCTGAAAACACACGGGAACACAAGAAGGCACAGTTTAGAGCTGAGGAGGTTTAGAGAGTATATACAGTATAAGCTCATAATAAGGGAGGAAGTGGAAGTGTTTTCTATAATCAAAAGCAGGATCTCACGGCCTGTAGAACTCCACAGATGTATGCACGATTAACATAGGCTACCTATCAATCATAAAGTTATACAAATATAACTTCCCCCCCTTCTCCCAAAAAATAGCACAGAATATATAGATTCTAGATAACGGATACATACAGATAGTTGCACTCTAAAAAATGCTGGGTTGGTTTAACCCAATTTTGGTTCAAATATGGACAAACTCAAACATTGGGTTAGAAATGTAACCCAATGGCTGGGTTTGTCCATATTTGACCCAAAACTGGGTTAAAACAACCCAGTATTTTTTTTTTTTTTTGTCTGGATGACATGAACAGTACAAAAACCACACTCTAAAAAATACTGGGTTGTTTTATAATAGTATAAAACAACCCAGTATATTTACGGATAACTAAATAATAGTATATTTAGTTAAATCTCACAAAGAACATGTCCAGGTCTTAGTTTACAAACAAACAAACAAGTACATGAATAAATACTGTTCAAAAGTTTGGGTTCGGTATGAATTTTTCAAATGTTTTTGAAAGAAGTCTTTTCTGCTTTCCAAGACTGATCAAAAATAGTCAAATTGTAAAATATTATATACAGTTTAAAGTAGCTGTTTTCTATTGCAGTGTATTGTAAAATGGCATTTATTCCTGTGATCAAAGCTGAATTTTCAGCATCATTATTTTGGGTTGAAATATGACCCAACCATGTGACAAGCTGCGTGTGCATTCAGGATTCTAACATATGAAATACTGATACAGGTGTTAATATAAGGCGCAGTGATATACCTGAGGCGGGATGATGTCGAACAGGTCTCCCGCGGGCGCGTACTCCTGGCCGAACACGTAGCTGTCCTCCGTCTCAAACAGGACGTTCAGGACTTTGATGATAAACGGACTGCAGCCCAGAGCCGCCGTCAGACTGTACTCGCGCAGGAAACTACGCAGCTTCGTCTTGTTCTTACTCACGTACTTCAGAGCCAGTTTAGTTCCTGCCAATACACAAAACAGCGATGAATGAAATATCATGGTGCGCCAAGACCTCTATATTTGAGGAGCATTTTTGGAGCTTGACAGTGTCCACCTACATTCACTGTATGGAGATTCTGCAAAACAGTTTGTTTTGGTTCCACAAGAAAAGAAAATTGGGAACGGCACTGCCACATTTCCCTAGACTCACCCTGTGTCCGATGCACACACAAGTCGACTTTGCCGTAGGTGCCCTTTCCCAAAGCAGCGATCAGCTCATACTGCTGTTCTACCTCTGAGGCGGAGAGAGACGTGATGGACAGCGCCTGCATGTCCTCGACCGGAGCCCCGCTCGTCTCACTGCCCCGTCCCGCTGCGAGAACACCCACCTGGGCACTGAGAAACACACACTCATTATCTCACATGCACTGACAAACTTATTTCAAGAGGTGCGTCCTGGGGCCAGATTCACACAGCTAAGAATGGTTTTCTTGCTTAGTCATTTTGTCTCGTTTACCAGTAAAAAATCTCAAAATTCCTAAATGATTTAAGATATTAAACCCCAGTTTCACAAACAAGGTTTAAACCGAGTCCCAGACTAAAATGCAAGTTTGAGCTGTTTTAACTGAAAGCAACTTGCACTGACATTTTTTAAAATATGTCATTGCCATTGTTTTGTCTCAAGATGCACACAAGTAATGTTTTTTTCTAAGGCACGTTTATAAAAGCTTCTTAAATGTCCTTATTGAACTAAAGCCTAATCCTGGCTTAATCTAAGCCCTGTTTGTAAAACCAGGCCTTTATATCTTAAGTCATTTTGCTTCTCAAGTAAATATATCTTGATTTTAGGAATGTTTAGATACTTGAATTGGAAAATGTCAAAAAATACCGAGTAAGAAAATGTTTTCTTTGCAATGAATGCACAAATCTCTTAAGAGAGAAGTTAAAACATGTCTTAAGACGTTCTTAACCGTCTGATGCTGTTTGGTCATTTTTGAAAGAAACTTTTTACGCTTTAGTTTTTTAGATTTTTTTTTTTTACTTCATCGGAATGATACGCAACTTGGTAAAGGTTTTGGCACTTGCTGTGTGAACACACAAAAACATCATGGACATGATTTGAAAAGGTTAAATGGTCCTCAAAAAAATAGTCACACTTGTATTGTTCGTGGTCAAAAATGAGCGCATTGGAAATGAATGGGAGACGAATTTCATCTAGTGGAAACGTTTGGTGCTGCGGCCAAACTAAATCTCACTGAAAGCTAAACCTCAAATTCGGAACACAACTCGTGTAGATATATTTTTAGAGTAAAACATGTTTTGGAAAATATATATTTCATATACAATTTTAAAATAGTATTTTTATGCATTTTTCATAATAATAAACTTTAGTTCCACTTTTTTCACTTCAGCAATTATCTGCCAAGTGTCAAACCAAACTTAAGTCTGTGCTACAAAGCATTCAAGATGTACCAAAGTTCAAGTTGGAAATTTCATTTTCAGGTCTATGCTCATAAAGTGATTAACAGGTATTAAATGGATCATAACTATTCCATAAATATAATTTGGTACCATAAAATCCACTAAAAATAGAAAAAAAATGGGTCATTCAGTTTTCTTGGGAAGAAAATAACAGACTTGGTGTTATCTGATTGTATGGCCATTCTTGTTGAAGATTTGCTGATCAAAATCTCTTCAAAGGTCTCTTTTTTGTGTCGTATGCAAATAACCTTAATAATAATAAGCATGCACACTATTTTTGGAGTCATGTTTTCTGATGTGCCATGTATTTTAAATGGTTATTAATTGTGGTCCGTTGCATTCACAGTCGCCCCCTCGGTTGAAATCGTGTGCGTGCGTGCGTGTGTGTGTGTGTGCGTGTGTGTGTGTGTGCGTGCGTGTGTGTGTTCGTCACCACCTTTCGCTCCCGTTAGCGACGGCCCTGCTCGCTTGCACTGATGCTTTGACTCTGAGTGGCAAAGTACCGGTATCATGTGAGAAGAACGCTAAAGATTAATATATAGAAGTGGCGTCCCACTTCAAGCACTGTTCTTAATAATGTTTTGTGAGACCGGCCCCTGGTGAGTAACTCTCTCCTGGTGTTATAGACCTCCTTGATGACGTCTTTTGTCGTTTTCTCTGTTTATTCTTCTGTCTCTAACGCTCGAGTCCTTATTTCCCTCCTTTTGTCAGCACTTCTGCACCTGATTTGACGCTCTCCGACGAAGCAGTCAAATCTTAGTAAATATTTCAACAGCAGCAAAGGGCACAAACTGAATCCCGGCCCTGACGTCTCGCAGAGCTCACGGGAATAAAGCAGTGACCTAGAATGAGTCCTCATGTTATCAGCATCATGCATAGTGACAGCGCAAGACCCTCCGCTGAGCATCACTGCCACACAACACCAGCAGACGACCTTAAGATGACCTCTCAGAAGTTGTGATGTGCCGGACCCCTGCTATCCTGGACACTTTAGCCCCTAACTGAGAAACAAATGAGAAACGAATTCAGGAACATCTAGAGGTCATTGTCTACCTCGGCTAGATACCTGTTATTTTTACTGCATTAACCCACCTGTCGTTCTCTCCCGCCCTTCATTCTGTACCTCAAACCGGTTGAGCAAAGAGAATCTAGGAATTTCCCTTCCCAATTTCAGTTGAATTGGCCACAACACACTTGATATTGAATTGGAATGACAGGAAAATGTTTTTTCAGAATGACAATTGTAAGAAATGCACTTTAATCTTACAGAACACAACAACAAAACGAGCTGGAACAGAAACTTTCCATTTTTATTAAACTGCTTGATGTTAATTAGCTCCATTTTGAAGACTTTGAAGTCAATTTTATATAGAAAGAAATAGCCCATATATTTTGTGTATGACTTGAGTTTGCTTTCTCTGATGCACACTGAAGGAAATTTGATGTAGGATTTATTTTGAAACAATTTTCTCTCAGATTTTGCAAGAAAATTTCACAAATAATAAGAAAGAAATGGCGAGTAAAACATTGAATTAAACATGAAATTTGTAAGTAGTGTTTTCTTGTAGAAATGTTCGCTAATAATCAGTTTAATTTACTGATATATAACTTTGCACTTTTTGCAGTGTCTTGAATGCACGTTACTATAGTAAATCATAATTGCCCCACTTAATAAATGGGACAATCTGTTCCTCGTTGAGCCTAAATTTTATCCTAAGGTCAACACCTGAAGGTGACCTTTGACCCCTCACAGGTCACATTCATTAAATACACAACATTCTTGCTTATACTTACAAACATGCAAACTCATGTTTACAGGATTTATTTAAATGCTAAATGCATCAGCATTACAGAAAATAAATCACTTCTGAATTAATTCTCATTAAATTCTATTCCTTTTTTTATTCATTGATTCATTGATTTATTTATTTTAGCATTTTTTACTACCCTCTTTCTCCCCCTTTATTTCCTTTCTTTTTTCACCTTATTCAGTACTTCACATGCTTTGGCGATATTATAAATGTTAACAAAAACGCCTATAATATCAGACTCTGGAAACATCAACAGAAATGCATGAATACATGCGTGCCACCAACAGTGCAAAACAAACAGTTGCGAGCAGCAAGAGCCCTCGGCAGTCTTCAGACAAAAGAAATCAATACACACATCACAGAGCGCTGACCTGATGAAGGAGATCTCCAGGACTCACCTGCTGGTGCCCTCTCTCTCTCCCTCATGTTCCTGCATCCAAACGCCGCGTCTACCCGTTCATTCCCTTCAGAAAAGCATGATCTTCAATCACAAAGAATGAGTTTCCTCAGCGTTCCTGAAGGACGTCTGGCTCAGAGCTCTGTCACACACACACACACACACTGCGCTCTGCTCTACATCCTCAGCTTTGCTTTCCAGTCCTGCGCTCATGTGGAAAAATCACAGTCCTGTTCAGTGTTTCCTTTGTGAAGGCTCTGCTGGAGCACGAGGAGAGAGGAGCTTGTGTGTGTGTTCCGTCATCAGTGATGTACAGTGTGTGTGAGAGAGAGAGATGAAGGGGAGGGGGGTGTATCTGTGCGTGAATGACCTACTTCATTGCGTTCGCGCTCCTGGATGCTGGAAGAACGGCGTCTGTGTCTCGCAGCATCCAGGGTCCTTTAGGGATGCGAGATGTGCTCATCCAATGGCCTGCGTTCACATGATCACAGGACCCCTCGAGCCGCCAGCGTCCCAACAGCCAGGCTTTGTTTTCACCCACAATTTAATGCAGAACATCAAACCTATTTTTAGATCTTTTTCGGTCTCATTCTGTGACATTTAGGCACATTTTTCTCCCAAGTTCTCATTCCTGTAATGTGCACAGTGTTTTTTTTTTTTTGTGTGTGTATCATGGAGATATTCATATTTTTTATAAATATTTTGAATTAGTTTTAAATTTTAGATTTTATGGTTTTATTTCAATTTTAGGTAAAGCTTTTAATCATTTTTATTAGTTTTTGATTATTTTTTTTTATAGTCGGCTGAAATGGAAGTGATTGTCTTTTCTTCCCTATTGTGACGTACACTCACCTAAAGAATTATTAGGAACACCTGTTCAGTTGCTTCAATGCATTTAGGGGTGTGGTCCTGGTCAAGACAATCTCCTGAACTCCAAACTGAATGTCAGAATGGGAAAGAAAGGTGATTTAAGCAATTTTGAGCGTGGCATGGTTGTTGGTGCCAGACGGGCCGGTCTGAATATTTCACAATCTGCTCAGTTACTGGGATTTTCACGCACAACCATTTCTAGGGTTTACAAAGAATGGTGTGAAAAGGGAAAAACATCCAGTATGCGGCAGTCCTGTGGGCGAAAATGCCTTGTTGATGCTAGAGGTCAGAGGAGAATGGGCCGACTGATTCAAGCTGATAGAAGAGCAACTTTGACTGAAATAACCACTCGTTACAACCGAGGTATGCAGCAAAGCATTTGTGAAGCCACAACACACACAACCTTGAGGCGGATGGGCTACAACAGCAGAAGACTCCACCGGGTACCACTCATCTCCACTACAAATAGGAAAAAGAGGCATCGTTTAAATGCCACGGCCTACCTGAGCATTGTTTCTGACCATGTCCATCCCTTTATGGCCACCATGTACCCATCCTCTGATGGCTACTTCCAGCAAGATAATGCACCATGTCACAAAGCTCGAATCATTTCAAATTGGTTTCTTGAACATGACAATGAGTTCACTGTACTAAAATGGCCCCCACAGTCACCAGATCTCAACCCAATAGAGCATCTTTGGGATGTGGTGGAACGGGAGCTTCGTCCCCTGGATGTGCATTCCACAAATCTCCATCAACTGCAAGATGCTATCCTATCAATATGGGCCAACATTTCTAAAGAATGCTTTCAGCACCTTGTTGAATCAATGCCACGTAGAATTAAGGCAGTTCTGAAGGCGAAAGGGGGTCAAACACAGTATTAGTATGGTGTTCCTAATAATCCTTTAGGTGAGTGTATATCCGAGTGAAACGGCTTCTCGAAGAAGAACAAATGTGGGCGGGGCTTGATTTTGTCTGTGGGGAATTGATTGGATTTGTGGTTTGCTATTGGTGGATCTGATGTGAGTGACAGGTTGTCCCGCCCTCATCACCAGTAAACACATCATCAGAGAAGAGATGTTGCTGCAAGAGGGAAGGGAAGTTATTTAAAGATTATGAGGCACATGAATTTAAAAAATAATTATGTGCACAGATATTTTATAATAAACGCTGCAATATTCCATAAAAACAAGAATTGTCAGTTTTTATGTCATGGTGACTTAAAATATATCTATAGGTTTTATAAATTATTTCAGTTTTTCATTAGATTCTCATTAATGTAATACAATAATGAAAAATCATGTTTATTACTACTATTAAATGCAGCACAACAAATATCATCACGATGCATCAAAATTTCCCATTGACATTCATTGTTTAGAATGTTCGTTATTCAAAACCTAACCGACCACAGTGACATCATTGTGATATTTACATACTGCATTGTGATTGTTTTTTCTTTTATGATCTAATATAGTGTAACAGTCGGGGTAACGAAGTACACTTGCATTTATGCATTTGGCAGATGGTTTTATCCAAAGCGACTTACACTGCATTCAAGGTGTTAAACCTCAGCCTAAAAAGAACATTTCTGGAAATGTAATCTAGTAAAATAACACTGACGTTTCCTCGCATTCACAAGAATGGAAAGAAACCATTTTTGACAACCTTCTGGAAGCCCAAACACAGAGTAATCTCACCTCTCCGCTGTGTTACGCCTTCCTTTCTTCTCATTACGCTCTCTCTCATCTTACAGCGCACACTTTTTGTCCTAGTTTAAGTTGCTGTCTCCTCACTTTATCCAGGTCGCATGTTTTTTTTTTGGAAACACTATGTCTTATAAAATATGGGCTTGAACGTGGAATCCTGCTGCAAATGTGTGCCCAGTACGCCCATATTTATGCACAATAATTATTTAATAGTAATTTAATAATATGACATAACATTGTGAGGTAACCACTTTGGCATTAATATTGTGCATTTGTAAACTTATATAAATAATACTAATAATTACATTGAAATATATAAATGATTACAAAAAAAAATTATTGTTATATATAATAATTAATTAATTATTAATTTAGTTATTAATTAGTAATATAACTATTATCATATAAATTCATATTATATAATTATTTATCATATATACATATATATTAGTTATTATGATCTGCCACCTTTATTAATATAAATAATAAACAATTATAATTACAATAAAAATATAAAGTTGAGAGTATACATTATTTTTTTGAACAACAATAATAATAATTATTATTATGATTATATTTTGTAATATAGTTTATAATATATAATAAACTGTAGTTATCTATAAACTGTAATCACATATTTAAAACAATTTAAAATAGTAATATATATTTATGATATTATGTATAATATAATATCATACTGTTATTAATATAATATTAATATCAATAAATATTATTATTATGTACCACCATTATAATGTTATATTAATAATAGTATGTAATTTTTTTAAAATAATACCTATATATTATTAATATAATATTAATTATTATGTGCCACCTTTATAATAATAATAATAAGTATTATTATTATTACAGGAAAAATATTATGTATAAAAAAGGGGAAAAAATGCACACCTTGGCTCCAAAAATGTGAACAAATATAATAGACTCACACACAGGTGGTAACGTTTCGAGCACGTAGGCTCTTCGTCAGGAAAAATATAATGTAAATACCCTTATTAATAAACATAAAACAAATCTTTTATCAATGTGTTCAAGCCTGTTTTGCATGCCGGTGCACATGCTGGAGCGTCAGCGTCACGTGACTCTCTCTCCACAGAGGCCTGTTGTCTCAGTCTCTGTCTCTCGCCCTGACGTCCCTCCTTAAATGAAATCTGTATATGAAGGAAGATTTCTGGTTTACATACTCGCTTTTATGCATTTGCATCTCTCGAGAACATTTATGAAGAGACATGCATGCCTCCAACACAATGCCTTCTTCATCTCCTGCCTGAGAAGCTCTTCAGTTCTGAAATGAATAGAAAGACAAACTGTGAAGTTCCCGCATTTCATGCTGAATGTCATTGCCATGTTTTGTTGTTTAGATCTAATTAGATGAAAGGCCTTAATTGCCCACCTGAGCTTTGAGTGACAGGCGCTGAAGTTCATCAAATGCATCTGTCATGCGCCTGATGGAAACGTCAGCACTGACCTTTGTGTGTTCTACATGCATTTGTCAGCGTTAATGTTTTCCTCCAAAATCAATCCGAACAGCTTGTGCAGAAGTAAAACTACTTGTTTGATTGTGAAACGCCCATTCAAAGCAGTCCGATATTAACTATAGGGAGCCGTATGAGTCATCTGCAGTTCTGAAGTGACTGAGGATCTAATGTACACAACCCTGATATAAATATCTGCACCCTTTGAGTGCGTCATTGTGAGGCAGAGGATGTCCTGCAGGCAGGAGCTTCATCTCTAGAGAGAGAGAAAGAGAGAGAGCTTTGTAATAAGGTCACTCGCTCTCTCTTTCAGAAACCAGACGCCACTTCAGTCTCAGATCAGGTGTGACATAAATCAGTCCTGATTGTGCGACTACAGATATGAACGAGCTCTCAAATCATGTGATTTGTTGAGGAGAGGTGCACTATTACGGTGATTAAAACTACAATACTGCCTTGATGGTGATAAAACAGATCCTAAGCAATTTGAACAAATTAATTTTGAAAATAGGATTATGCACTTAGTTCAATAAATAGTTTAATTTATGTATGACTGACAAATATGCATCACATTAAGTTTATTAGTTTGTTTATGTTGAAACTAATTAAAATGAATGGAAATTGTATATGCAATTAAAATATATAAATCTTACATTTAGGCCTTTTTTTAATGGATGTGCAATTTGACCCATGCACAGCACATTTTTCGAAAAAAAGGTTAACCAGTCGAAAATACTGGTTAACCTATGTTTTTCTTGAAAATGAAAAGTTTTGACATTCTGAGGTGTTGTAGAATAAAATTCTACATGTATTAAATTTCTTTTCCAATTTAATTTGGAATTTAATTTATTACTGGCAGGAGCACAGACCCAAAATAAAAAAAGGTTTTATATTGTGCGCGCACACACACACACACACACACACACACACACACACACACACACACACACACACACACACACACACACACACAAAGCATTTAAAATACTGTTTATAATATTGTGATTTTTGGTGAATTGGTCAATTTGACCTATGACCTTAAATGTTAAGTTAACAACTTGTAATTACTTAGGTAGAAGATTCTATTGTGTTCGATATTTTTTAAGTAAAGAATGTTAAGTGAACTCATATATTTAAGTACAACAAAAGTTGGCAAGTTGGATTTACTTAAAGTTTGTTGCAAAAATGCTCAAATAATTTTTCAGTGTAGAACAATGCGATAAACCACAGAACACCTTAGAAACCGCACAGCAATCATGGTGGCACGTTTGGCACGGGCAAACGCTGAAGGAGAAGTAAAAAATATAGTTTTATTTGCTCTCTGGTGAATTCGGCTGTCTCTAAATTGGATTTTATTTTTCATGGTCTGGTCATTTTCAGTTGAACTCTCCTCTTCCCGTTTCGGCTTCTAACAAGATGCGTCTTGACAGACGGTTGCTACATCCTAATTTAACATCTTATTTACAACAAAAGAGGAAACTGCTGCCCTGGAACCGATTGCTCGAGGGTTTTTGCCTGTTATTTACAGCTGGATGTGGGCTGTTTGTTCTGCCAGTGCTGTCTAGTGATGGCCAAGGGAAAGAGCAGAAATTGGATGGGAGCAAATAAGAGACTGGAGGGCGTGACAAGGGGATTTCTGTGTAAATGACAGTGGTATTTCTTTCGGCTAAAATGCTTGGTTTGTTTACACACAGCAGAGAAGTGGTGGGAAAAGAACGATAGAGCTTTGGATGCTGCCATCTAGTGGTTCAGAAAGAGTATTTAAAATCTTAAGTTACCGAAGCCTGGCAGTGGGACGTACGATTCATATGAACGAATCGGTTCGTTTGGACAGTTAATTTTAACGCAGTGTTTAACAAAATGATTCATCAATTACTTTGCGTCCTCACTGTAGAGTACAAAGAAGTAGCTATTGTAATTACATACGCCAGGCTACTGCAGTTTAGAAGAACTGTTTTTGATTAGGTTATTTAAATTACGTTTAAATTATGTCTTACTCCGGAATGTTCTCATTTAGTCGAAAGAATGACGAATAATTCCTACGATTTATTCATCAATCAAACATCAACACTTGGTCCACACCTTCCCACGGCAAGGCAAAATTATTAATTCAAATCTCTACTCCATTTTTAACTAATGTTATAGTCATGCAATAGTTATAGAATTTCATAATTTAAAAAAGGCCAGCCTAAAAACCTAACTTTTGATTTTAAAGGTACAGCAATTATTTTGTTTCCACTTAGAAATGAATACTTGTATAAAAATAATACTAATAAATGCTTACAATTATGAATTCCTGCCCAAGATAAAGACTCTGGTCATTTCAGTCGCCTTGAAAAAGCTGTTTCATTCTACATGAAGGGTGGTCTCTGGCCTCATGGCGGCTGCCATTTTGAGATGATAACACTTGGTTATCGAAACTTTCAGTTGTGGAATAAATCATGGGTGACAGACACATATTCTAATGAACAGACTAGACTATTTCTACCATAGAAATCAAAAACTTTAAAAATAAAAAAATACATTCAAAGCCTCCAATCTAACTAAAAGATAAAATGAAGTCCAACCCAACCTTTTTTCTCATTGAATATCCCGAGTGAGTCACTCGGAAGCACGTAATACTTTGGCAGAAAAACAGGTTGTAAACATGTCATGTGAACATTAAAGTTGCTTGCATTCACCATTGTTTGAGCCAACATTGTTTAAAGGTTGTTCACGCAGAATGTATTTTATGTGCAGGGCAGGTGTGTTTGACCATTGTGACTTTTTCAGCATTTCACACATAACACTGCATTCTAAAAACTTGTTGCTTAAGTAAAAAAAAACCCTGCATTTTTAGACCTTGTGTTTTTCATTCCACTGCCATGCAACTCATTTTTATTAAATACAACACATTGTGTGTAAAGGGCCTCTCAGGCTGGTTTTGATGCTCAAACAACAAGGCTCCCGCAATGTTTTCATAGCAGCACACAGAAAAGTTTTTGCAAATAGAAAGTTAAAAAATTACCTCGCTGATGGCACAACGTTGTGAAAACTCTGTCGTGTGATAAAATCTTTATTTTTCAGGTAAGACGAAATCAAGTCAAATTTAAAACTCATTAAATAGCATTATCTCACAGTAATATTATTTTCCTGAATGTTCTGTGGTCCTGCTGGGCATGTCAGTGCAGATCAGCAATAAAGCCGGTGTCCCCGCGCAGGTGCTGCTCCTGGAGGGGCGAGGGCTCGACGGGACCCTGATCCTGTGTCCTGTCTGAGAGAGCGAGAACAATTCCATTGGTGCATCTAACCTGTTTGAGCACAAGTGATGCACGCTCATGGCATCATCAATTAATTATTTTTGTGAAATATTTAGGCTTTTCTAGCTTTCTTTAACCTTGTGAAGTCTGACATACGAAATAATAATAGTCAAAAATGTAATGGAACAGTTTATTAAGTCTTTAGACCAAAAAAGGTTTGCATATGTGCTTTTTTTCCCCTTTTTTTTTTTTTGAGTATCATATTTTGATATATCAGGTTTTTATGGCCCATATAGGAGAATATGAAGCTCATATTTGAGAAGGTAAAAAAAACAACAATTTTATTCAGAGGCCCAAACTGAGCAAAAATATGCAGATGGTCCAGATGTTGTTATTTATATGGCTAAAAAGTATTATGAAAATCTGACAGCTTGTAATGTAAATCAGTGAGATTTTATACCCACTTACATAAAATGTATATAAAAATCGGTTGTTACTCTATTTCTCTAATAATAATAAAAATAATAAGTCTCAGAAAGATGATATTTAAATGCTTAGTTTTATGATCAGAGCTCTGTATATTTTATTGTGGAGAGTAAATCATATAATGCAATGCAATACAATGATGATTGAGAGATGAACAAATAAATCTTCCCCAAAAGCCTGATGTATCATATTTGATACTCACATTTTAACATGATTTTTCTACAAAAATCGATGTATGGATAATCAAGTAAAGTTGCTTCCGTCCAATAAATGTTGAATACTAACAACATAAAATGTATTATAACATTTACTTTATAAAAATCAGTGCAGATTTCATAGTAAAAAGACGTGAACCACGACCTGAAAATGGACAGTTAATTTTACTAAAACGCCTTTTGATTGCTATAAACTGTCAATCAGACGACATGTAGTAGATTGTGTGCAACAGGTTTTTCAGCAAGTTTTGATCATGTTGATCATTTAGAAGCCTTAGACATTTGCATATAAAATATTACACAGTAGGCTTCATAGGGCTAAAATAAATGACACATTCAGGCATTTTTAAAGGCTGGGACACACCAAGCCATGTGCTCCAAGTTTTTTCGGTGTGTTCTGCACAGTTGGCTCTCGTCGGACGCCATTCGGGTTTTTTGTGCAGATTCAGCATGTTGAATCGCCGTCGGTAAGAGAGAGAGAACTCTGATTGGACGTTCAGCTTAGCGAACGAGTCAGTGCACGAGAATAAAAGCGAGCAAAGACAGACAAATTATGGGTATAAGGCTGTTATAATGTTACATCATTTACCTGAGCATTTGAATGCATGAATATTTTCATAATAATATGAGCTGCCTGGAATAAAGAAAGTAATCAGCATGATATTCAAAATGCAAAGCTAGTGCTGCTTTGTTTACGTGTGTATATCTGCAGTCCTAGTTTTTGGTTTCCCTATTTTGAATGACGAAAATAGACTATTGATACCTGCTGATATTTACTTACACACAGATGCAGAACACATGTGCTATTTGACAGTCACCTTTAGTCCTTTTGGTGTGTTAAAGTGCGCTTTAACACACCAAAAGGACTAAAGGTGACTGTCAAATAGCACATGTGTTCTGCATCTGCTTTATGGCCGAGATGCAGCCGACAACACAGTCAGCTTTCGTCACCGCTAGTTCTTTGACGTTGGCTTGGTGTGTCCCGGGCTTTTGTGACTTAAAGCTGTTGCGTCCACTTGAGCCTGTGTGTCCTGTCCACCTGAACCTATCAGATGAGCTGAAGAAGTGCATGCATGTCTCACCTGTTGTTGTCGCCTCATAGGAGATGTTGTGTTGTGTTAGGAGCGATCGTAGCCGTTCTATCTCTGCTTGCTCCTGTTCAAATAAACAATAGTTAGTTCAAAAGTTAACAATAGATGCGAAGACTATTCATTTCAATATTTTCTTTTGAAAGTAAGGTTAGAGATTGGGCTGCAAGTTAGCTTGGTTTTGTTTTACATTCTTTGATTTGGAAGCCGCCCGCGTTCCTTCTCCAACTCTCCCTATTTTTCTTATATTTGTAAGTGCCTGTTTGTTATCTGTATTTTTCTTATTTTCCCATACTGTGTATATGTCTGAGGTGCGTTTTTGTCTTGTTTAAAGCTACCTCCTATTGTAAATATTTATATATATATATATATACACTCACCTAAAGGATTATTAGGAACACCTGTTCAATTTCTCATTAATGCAATTATCTAATCAACCAATCACATGGCAGTTGATTCAATGCATTTAGGGTTGTGGTCCTGGTCAAGACAATCTCCTGAACTCCAAACTGAATGTCAGAATGGGAAAGAAAGGTGATTTAAGCAATTTTGAGCGTGGCATGGTTGTCGGTGCTAGACGGGCCGGTCTGAGTATTTCACAATCTGCTCAGTTACTGGGATTTTCACGCACAACCATTTCTAGGGTTTACAAAGAATGGTTTGAAAAGGGAAAAACATCCAGTATGCGGCAGTCCTGTGGGCGAAAATGCCTTGTTGATGCTAGAGGTCAGAGGAGAATGGGCCGACTGATTCAAGCTGATAGAAGAGCAACTTTGACTGAAATAACCACTCGTTACAACCGAGGTATGCAGCAAAGCATTTGTGAAGCCACAACACGCACAACCTTGAGGCGGATGGGCTACAACAGCAGAAGACCCCACCGGGTACCACTCATCTCCACTACAAATAGGAAAAAGAGGCTACAATTTGCAAGAGCTCACCAAAATTGGACAGTTGAAGACTAGAAAAATGTTGCCTGGTCTGATGAGTCTCGATTTCTGTTGAGACATTCAGATGGTAGAGTCAGAATTTGGCGTAAACCGAATGAGAACATGGATCCATCATGCCTTGTTACCACTGTGCAGGCTGGTGGTGGTGGTGTAATGGTGTGGGGGATGTTTTCTTGGCACACTTTAGGCCCCTTAGTGCCAATTGGGCATCGTTTAAATGCCACGGCCTACCTGAGCATTGTTTCTGACCATGTCCATCCCTTTATGGCCACCATGTACCCATCCTCTGATGGCTACTTCCAGCAGGATAATGCACCATGTCACAAAGCTCGAATCATTTCAAATTGGTTTCTTGAACATGACAATGAGTTCACTGTACTAAAATGGCCCCCACAGTCACCAGATCTCAACCCAATAGAGCATCTTTGGGATGTGGTGGAACGGGAGCTTCGTGCCCTGGATGTGCATCCCACAAATCTCCATCAACTGCAAGATGCTATCCTATCAATATGGGCCAACATTTCTAAAGAATGCTTTCAGCACCTTGTTGAATCAATGCCACGTAGAATTAAGGCAGTTCTGAAGGCGAAAGGGGGTCAAACACCGTATTAGTATGGTGTTCCTAATAATCCTTTAGGTGAGTGTATATATATATATACATTTCACCTTTTTGTAAATAAAACAATCGATTGCAGTTCAGTAGAGGTGTTTATTTGCCTTTACTCCTCACCTAGTTATGTTGTCTGCAAATGAGTGTTTCTCCCAAATAAATGTTACTCCCCCTATACCCCTTGATTAACCATCTCAGGGGTCTCGTAACACATGCTGACAGCACTAGCATGACTAAAGCTGAGCGCAGTACGTCCTGCACGCGTCTCTCTGACCTGTTTGCACTGCTCCAGACTTGGATGTGTGAGGGACGTCGTACTCTCCTCTGCCTTCTGCTGCTGAGCTCTTCTCAGGAGACCCGCCTCTTCAAACAGCTCCTTCAGCAGCTTATTATAACCCTAAACACACACATACGCCTCTTATTATTATGTTCTCAGAGGCATTATACCAGTGTGTGTGTTTGTTGTCACCTGTTCTGTGAGGAGATCTTCATATCGAGCTTGCGCAATTTCATCCCAGTCCTTCTGTAATGGCTCACTCAAAACTGGATACACTGAAAAAACACACAAATGCACAGTGTGAGACTTGGTACACTGTAGATAGAGCCTCAACTAACTTTCAAAGGTCCCTCAGGATCACATACAATAATTTAAAATAAGACAAAACAAGCTAAAAACAACAATAGTATCTGAATGATACTAAAATAACACTGCGGTTAACTGACCTAAGAGGGAGTGTGAATGGCAAACCAGTGGCGTCTCAAACGTCAGTGAATAAACACACGTCTGCGGCTCTGAAACACTCGACAGTTTACTGCTGTTCCCACAGACCAGGAGAACCTGAATAGAGACACGTCACCATTTACTGGCAAACAAAATATCCATAAACTCACATTACAATTAACACAAAGATAGTGTTCATGGGAAAAAAACAAACCTTGGTCTGTCTGTTCTTGTTTCCACATGAATCTCCTTCTCGCATCCACATGCCAGTAAACGTGTTGTTCTGAATCTCCCATTCCTGCCAAATACTACACATACACAGTGATTTTAAATAATGCAAGCTTAATTAAACAGAAGAAAGCAAAATAGAAACTTTTATAAAAGATCTTTACCCCAATATACCGCTGTATGCGTTCCATCTGAAACTCTGTTCATGCTGAGTCACATTATGAAATGGACAGAATACGTATTTGTATCTAGAAAACACAGAAGAATTAAAAATAGGTTTCTTTTAATTGGACATAATTCATATGCATAAAGATAAAGCAAGTTAAATATGTATATTAAGCTACTACACTTTAAAAGAAAATGACTTTTCAATAGTTTTAAAGCTGTGCAGATGTTACATACAGAGCCTCAATATAGTTGAAGCATTTCCCTGCCAGTCTGTGCAGATGTGAAGGTCCAGACACTGGAGATGGGCTGATCTTTGCCTGCAGTCGGCTGCTCTGAGACATAAGCTGATAATTCAACCTGAAAAATCAAAGGAAGAAGAATATAGAAATTCAGACTATGTTGTTTAAGTAGATCTCATATTTGAAATGAAAATTTTAGAGAGGGTTTGCTGGAAACCTGACCCAAATGTATTAGGTTCCTCAACTATCTTCATCTTCCCTCCTGATATGACAGAGACTGAAACATCAAAAAACACCACATTATGGATGCTGACATTATTCATATTGAACACCCTAAAGACAACAGAGGATTTTGGCAAAAAACACATTAAAACACTTTCAGTTCCACATACTACAATATTGATCAGATTTAATAAAACAAGACTCAATTTATTACACTTACCTAGTGCTGTCAGACATAACAGGCACAATTTTAAATATGCAGACTCCATAACTCTTGAAATCGTGGGAGTTGTAAGTAAAACTACATTTCTTTTTATCTTTCCTCTGTCTGTTCATGTGACACAACCACAACTGAAAACATTACCGATTGGAGAAGATTTGATGTTTTATGAACGTGTGGCTTGCGAAATGCAACAATTATCGAGAAAAGACCTCATATTTAAGAGTTTTAACATATATGAAGATATAATTACATTTAATTTGTAAAAATGGGTCCCTTTTGTTGTTTACATTTAACACTAAGGCGAAATATGCATCAAAACATTCGTGAATGTATGAAACGCGGCGTTGCAGTAAAACAAAAAATATTGTTCTATATTTCCGGGGTGTAATTCTGCCTAAATAAAAGTCCTCTTCCGGTTTTACTTTATCGATTATTATCTGTCTGTTTTGTATAATTTATCCATAGCGTTGAGCATAAAATATTAATTTATATTGTTTGACCTAAACTAAATTAAGAAAATATTAATATTGATGTAATTTAAATAAATTAGCGTCTTTTGTGCTTGGTAACAGTAAGAGCCATGTTTCATTACGTCACCGTGTTTTGGCCTCACGAACCAGCGTGTCAGAATAAGTCTTTGGGATTTTATTTAAAGGCATTTGTATGCCGTGATCAGCGTAAAGTAGATACATTTTTGGTGTGTTATAATTTGTAAGATGGTTAAATAGGTTATAATACAGTCAACCCTTTAAATAGCTTCTAAACACGTCTGAAAGTTGTAGTTTTTATTCCTAAAACAAAAATAAGGTGAATTTCAGATATGCGACGTAAAAAACAGGGTAAATGTGAGCGAGCGGTTCACAAGGGCAAAGACACACGACACAGGATGAAGGGGAAATCATTAGAAACCTTCACAGAGGAGATGCACGAGGCTCTGCAAGGTCTGTGGTTGTCATGCCAGGAAAGATATGTTAAAGGGATAGTTCACCCAAAAATGAAAATTCAGTCATCATTTACTCACCCTCAAGTTGTTCCAAACCTGTATGAATTTCAGTACTCTGCTGAACACAAAATAATATATTTTTAAGGAATGTTGGTAACCAAATAGTTGATGGACCCCATTGACTTCCATATACTATTGAAGTCAATGGGGTTCATAAACTGTTTGATTACCAACATTCTTCAAAATATCTTTGTTTGTGTTCGGCAAAAGAAAGAAATTCATACAGGTTTGGAACAACTTGAGGGCGAGTAAACGATGACTGAATTTTCATTTTTGGGTGAACCATCCCTTTAAGGGAGTGCATTTAACATTGTCATGTTTTTTAAACATATCAGCTCAGATTTATGTCACAAACTGAATTACTCTCTGTAATAAAGCTTGACACACATGAGGTTATATGTTGTCAGTGTATGTGTGTGTTTTTTTTTCTTCAGCCAGTGAGGATGCAGATTCAGGGGCTTCAGGAGGTGTGAAGTTGCCCTGTCCATTGGCCATGTGGGATCTGGGTCACTGTGACCCTAAACGCTGCACAGGACGGAAGCTGGCCAGGAAAGGTTTAGTGCGCTGCCTTCGACTCAACCAGCGCTTCAATGGCCTGATCCTCAGCCCGATGGGAACCAGATACGTTACACCTGCAGACAGGTCAAGTCAAGTCACATTTATTTATATAGCGCTTTTTACAATACAGATTGACTGTTTCAAAGCAGCTTTACAGAGATTACAGAAAAATAATGCAAAAAAGTTGGTTTCCAGAAGAAAATAGCGTCACAGTCCAGCTTAAGGAAGTTCAGTGATGTTTCATTTTTGTTTTAAAAAAGTTTTTAATTTAGTTAATTTAGAGATATATATATATATATATATATATATATAGCCGCTCTGGAGTAAACCGTGATGTCATCATCCAGCTCAGTTCAGTTCTTGTATAATAGTGTCAATGCAGGCAGATCAATATTATTGTTGAATATTAAATTAAATGTTAAATTTAATGTCCCCAACTAAGCAAGCCAAGCCAATGGCAACAAAGGTGAAAAGGCGACTCCACTCCATCAGGTGGCAGAAGGGAGGAAAAAACCTTGGGAGAACCCAGGCCCGGATCCGGTTGACAACATCATGCATTGTGGTCGTGTCTAGGCGCAGGTCCACCATCTGATCTGGATACGGCCCGGATCCGGTTGACAACATCATGTGTTGTGGTCGTGTCTAGGCGCAGGTCCACCATCTGATCTGGATACGGCCCGGATCCGGTTGACAACATCATGTGTTGTGGTCGTGTCTAGGCGCAGGTCCACCATCTGATCTGGATACGGCCCGGATCCGGTTGACAACATCATGTGTTGTGGTCGTGTTTAGGCGCAGGTCCACCATCTGATCTGGATACGGCCCGGATCCGGTTGACAACATCATGTGTTGTGGTCGTGTCTAGGCGCAGGTCCACCATCTGATCTGGATACGGCCCGGATCCGGCTGACTTCAGTAAACCTCGGAATAAGCAGAAAGACTAACATTGACGTAGATGCCATTCTTCTTATGATGTAACGAGTACATCGGGTGTTATAGGAAGTGTCCCCAGCAGCAAATCAGCATTTTAGAATGATTTCAGAAGGATCATGTGACACTGCAGACTGGAGTAATGATGCTGAAAATTCAGCTTTGATCACAGGAATAAATTACAGTTTTAAACAAAATATTCAAATAGAAAAGAGATACTTTAAATTGTAATAATATTTCACAATATTACTGTTTTTTTCTGTATTTGTGATTAAATAAATGCAGTCTTGGTGAGCAGACGAGGCGTCTTTTAAAAACATTTGAAAAAACATACCGACCCCAAACCTTAGCATTATTGTGTAGATAAAAATGAGAGAAAATGTCTCAATTCTTAATCTGTAATATTCTTCATTTCCAGGGAGATTGTGGCACAGGCTGGACTGGCAGTGATTGACTGCTCATGGGCACGGCTTGAAGATACGCCTTTCAGCAAAATGATTGGCTCACATCCGAGGCTTTTGCCGTTCTTGGTCGCAGCAAATCCTGTAAACTACGGAAAGCCGTGCAAGCTGTCCTGCGTCGAGGCTTATGCTGCCACCTTCTGCATTGTGGGTAAGCAGCTCCCAGCTTTAGCTTTCTCTCTCCCTGCTATTGTCATATGGGTTTGTATGTATTATAGCAGTGGTTAAGCATTATGCATTTCAATGGCTGATAAGACTGACTAGAGAGCGTGGTCACAAATGGCCAAATTGATGCTGATATACACTGTTCAAAAGTTTGGGGATTTAGCAAGGTTTATTGGCCAATAATTGGCCATTAAAATTGTTACAAACAAATAAATGCTGTTGTTTTAAACTATATTGTTTACAAAGAATCATAAAAAAAACAGTTTCCACAAAATATGAAGCAGCACAACTGTTTTCAGCATTGTTTATAATCAGAAATGTTTCTTGAGCAGCAAATCCGCATATAAGAATGATTTCTGAAGGATCCTGTGACAGTAATGAATTGCAATACAGGAATAGATTACATGTCAAAATGTTTTTTTGCATTTATTTATTTTTGACTAAATATATTCAGCCTCGGAGGGCACACGAGACTAATGTCAAGAACGTAATATGTAATAATGATAGCAACTGAGATTAAATTGTGCAGATTTGCTGAGATGAAATGGACATTTGTTTGTGTATTGACGTGTATGTGTCTTGATATGATCATGCATCAGGATTTCGTGACCTGGCTGTGCTCCTGCTGAGGAAGTTTAAGTGGGGTTTGGGATTTTTGGAGCTGAACAAGACTCTTCTAGAGCGTTACGCTTCCAGCCAATCCGAAGAGGAACTACTGGCTGTGGAGAAAGAGTTTCTTGGTGAAACTCCTCAGGAAGAGGAGATAGGTACGTTCCAATGGTGCTATTATGCTTTTTTACATTTTCATCTTTCTTTAGTGTGTAATGTTGCTGTTTGAGCATGAAAAAGCTCTGCAAAGCACAAAGTCCCTCCAAAGGAAGTCTCTGAAGCCTCCAAAGTTCTCCCTGAAACACTGTTGAGTCGGTTGAGTTGCGTTAGTAGTGTGTTGAAACTCCCGGTTATGGTAAGGGGCGGGACATTTCCCAAACACAATCAAAGCGGTTGACCAATCACAACACACTGGTCTAGCTGGCAAACAGAGCACATTGTGACTTTTAGAAGGAGGGGAACTAAACAGGGGTGCGTTTCCCAAAAGCCAACTATGGTCGCAAGTTCCGATATTACCAACAACCATTATTGGCTAATGATTCTTTTTGCACCCCAGCAGGGGCCGGTTTCACAAAGCTATTTTAGACCGGTCTATAGTGTTAGACATATCTAAAATTTGCTCATAGACTAATCTAATGCAAGTTAGACTGTTTCACAAAAATAAAGACTGACTTAATTTAGACCAAATAATTAGACACCTTTCCCCCAGGCTAACTTAGGTCTAAGACTCTGTTACCTTGGCAACCAACAGTAACAATCAGTTACATGACAAACAGCCGAAAGCAAAGGGAAAATGGCCCTTTCCAAATTAAACATTTCTTCTTGTTACTACACTCTCCACTAAATTTCCCAAGTAAAATGTCCTTGTAACTGTTATACTCCTCCAACAAACACATATCTCCCGCTGGGGTAAACTGCACTGAGCGGTTGAATGCGCTTACTCGATCCGCCATGTTTTTTGTTTTGAAAAGTGTCTTATTTTACCCAGAATGCATTGCAGTGTAGTCCTACTTAAGATAGTCAGAGTCTTAAGCGCTTTGTGCAACGGTCTGATTTACGGTAGATGTCTATCTGAAGTCTATCTATTATATCTAAGCCTATCTTTGTGAAACCGGCCCCTGAGCATCTCTGACAAACTGGGAAGAGAGGAGCTGCAACAATGTCAAGTATGGGAAAGCTTATTCTAGACCAGTAGACTTTGAAAAAGGGTGTGATAGGGCCTCTTTAAAACAATCAAATATACTGTAAGGGTTTTGAAAATAACTTTGGTGTTTGTTATGTGTGTTTGTGTCCAGATCCTTTCGATGTGGACTCAGGAAGAGACTTTCTGAACCTCAACAGGCCAGTCCAGTGAGACTCTTTTTATAATCATTATGATTCTACTATGAATTTTGCTTAATTTCAACCTGAGAAGTCAGTTTAAGTAATCTGTCTGTTTGTTCTCTCAGGGCTGAGGATGATGATGACAGTGACGAGACATCAGAGGAAGAAGATGATGGTGAGGAGGAAGAACAGAAGAGTAAAGAGGAAGAGGATGATGATGAAAGTGATCAGTAGTCTTGGTTTGTGTAATCTTAAAATGAAACGTTTGGGGAAGGAGGACTATCAGTGACTTATTTAGTAACTCTGACCTTCACTTGACATAAGCAGACTTCTGTTTTATGAGTGTTTGCAAATGTTGAAAGATGGAACTAGTAAGTTAAACAAACCAGAGTAATTGGATACTGTAGTCAAGGTTTCAGTGAGCAATTTCTCCAAAGACTTTTTATTATGTGCAAAATTTGTTCATGAGAAGAATCTTCTCAAACTGTAATTGACACTTGTTTATAAAGCAGAATTAAATGTTTAAAAAATGTTTAAATAAATATTCAAATGATGTTTGCAATATGCTGCATTTGAGTTAAGTTTGCTAGGTGTTTTGCTAATTTGAGTTCCACTTTCTTTAACCCAGCCTGTGTATTTTAAGTTAGTTACATGTAAATCCAGCATGAGCTAGGGAACTAGTTGAGCAGGCATCATGCTATATACTCTATACGAGGGGTCTTCAATCTTAGATGCCACAAACCCTCAAATATGATAAACGAGGGAACCCCACCCTAACATTTAAAAGGCAACTTTATATTTTCATGCATAAAGACCCAATTTATACTTTGAAAATTAAAGCTCCAGTCCGTAACTTTTTTAAGTTAAAAATAATCCAAAATAATTATATTAAAAAAAACTTATTCTGCCAGTGGTCAAAACTATCTGCTTGCCATAGCTAGTTTCAAAACGGTTAGCTTGTAATAATGATTTTAATTCCAGTGGTACTGGTGGGTTTCCGCGGGAAATTCGAGCATGTCTTTGCGTCATTACGTCACACCCGTACACATAAAGAAGGAGTTTCGGCTAGCCGGCTATACTGCGCGTGACGAGATGTTTAGATGTATAGGCTTTTCTCTTATGGCATCCAGAAAGATCCAAACAACAATCATCAGTGTCAACTGGAGATTCAGCAGTTATAAAACCCAAAAGACTTCGTATTTCGGATTTAAGGTGGCTAGAGAAAGAGAATGAAGCCGTCTCATGCGAACACAAGGATTTAAACATCGGCGGGGGTTTTGAAAAGTGCGTGAACTCCGTGTTTTGAAGGGGTTCAAAACGGAAGAAGAGACGGCTTTTTTCTGCTGAACAAGTAAGACATTTCAATAGTTCAATCGTGTAACAGTACGTTTTCTTAATTCACACAGTTATGGAGTTTCCTTTGTTGTGCCTTTCTCGTTTTGCTATTATGGAGAATATGAATTCTGAACTACACAGGTAACCATACAACACATTAAATTTAACATTAGTCACGCAATGCTGATGTGATGTTGTTAACATGACAACATGAACAATTTGAGAACAAAGTAGGCTATAATTTGCACGGTTGCTGTAAATCGCGTTGATTAAATCTAACGAAGCTTATCATGTCGAATGCTTTTTCCCCCTTAGTTGGTCAGAACAAAAATGGATTTTACTTACTTGTTCAGAAGACATTTTCTTATGAAAATTCTTATGTTGTTTTTTAAAAAAAAAAGTGAATCTGTGATTCTGTATGACAGTATCCACACAGCGCGGTGACTGACAGCAGCACTCGCCTCAAAGCACTGTGTTCATCCACGCTGTTTCATGCCGATTTACAACCCACGTAAAGATAATAATTCCGCGAATCACTGCAGTTACAGATTTCGAACAGAGAGATGGCGACAAAGAGGAAAAGATACGGACTGCAGCTTTAATATCATAAACTCACTTTGGTGCTGTATTGTTAGATGTATTAATTATTTATTTACTTTCATTTTTTATTTTAATCTATTCAATGATTTTAATCATGTATTTAGTTTAATTTTATTTGTTGTTATGGTTTACACTGTTTTCTGAACTTCAAAGAAAACAATGACATTACAATGGTTATGTCCATAATATTACCATAAGCCAAAAAAAAAAAATCGTTAGAGTACGTTGTGTTAGTGGAATGTAGGTTTAAAGTAATATAAATAAGGGTGACACAGATCTGCTGATGCACAGTTGCAAAATGCCTTCAATTAAGGGATAGTTCACCCAAAAATGAAAAATCTGTCATCATTTACTCGCTCTCATGTCGTTCCAAACCTGTAACACTTTCCTTCATCTTCGGAACACAAAAGATCTTTTTTTTGATGAAATCTGAGAGCTTTCTGTCCCTCCATTGACAGTATACGCCTAAATTAAATCTGGTCATCATATAAAGCGATCGAGTCTCTTGGACTAAACCGCTCAATTCATATGGATTAGTTTTACGATCTCTTTATGAACTTTTGGAAGCTTCACGGTGGTTGTTGCGTAGCTGTCTATGGAGGGACAGAAAGCTCTCAGATTTCATCAAAAAGATCTTCATTTGTGTTCCGAAGATGAACAAAAGTGTTACGGGTTTGGACCGACACGAGGGTGAGTGATTACAAGTTGCAGCTCCTACAGAACGCTGCTGCCAGGATTCTGAGCAGAACCAGAAAATATGAACATATCAAGTCTTTACACTGGCTCCCAGTTACATTTAGGATTGATTTTAAAGTATTATTACTGGTATATAAATCATTCAATGGGCTAGGACCTCAATACATTGCAGATATGCTCACTGAATATAAATCCAACAGATCACTCAGATCATTAGGATCACATCAGATAGAAATACCAAGGGTTCACTCTAAGCATGGAGAGTCTGTTTTTAGCTATTACCGTAAAACTATTATGCTGGAACCAGCTTCCAGAGGAGATCAGATGTGCTGGAACAGCTTCCAGAAGAGATCAGATGTGCTCCTACAGTCACATTCAAATCCAGACTCAAAACACATCTGTTTAGCTGTGCATTTACTGAATGAGCACTGTGCCACTGTTCGTCCGACTGTTTGTACTGTATTTTAGTTTATTTTTTATTCTAAACTGTTTTAATTATTCCTTATTTCTTTTGATTATTTTAATTTATTCTATGTAAAGCACTTTGAATTACCATTGTGTATGAAATGTGCTATATAAATAAACTTGCCTTGCCTAATTAATGACAGAATTTAAATTTTTGGGTGAACTATCCCTTTAACACTTTTAACCTTTTTCACTGCATTCAACTTTACTGTCTATGGCATTCAAGTAGATTATGGGTGGCACTTCCGTTTTTGGGGAAGTTCCACTCAAACATTCAAATCATAAATTTGCTCTACAAATAATCCTTATCCCTCAGTTTGACTGAATGAGCTGTAAAATTTCTTTCATGTTCTATTTTCAGACTTTCAGAGAATAAGGTAACGCTCGGTATTTTAACGTGACATGGTATATCAAAAATGTTTCTCCCCAAATCCTCACGTTTCTTTCCAGGTTTGTTTTCACATGGATTCTTTAAAATGTAGCCTAATTGTCTCCTCTTTTCACTTCCAATCCCTGTTAGCAGTATTTACTTTCTAAAGCAGGTAAATACAATATTTATTGTCTGACCTTTTTAGCATCGTAAATTCTGGATTTTTTTATATTTTAATTTTATAAAGAAATGTATCTACATTTGTATCACTATCATTTGTATTATATTACCTTTGCATCCAATTAGCAACAAAAAAAAAAAAAAAACTAGTTAATGCTGCTGTGAAGGTGTGTGATGGTAAAGTTGACATTTTTCTCTCTTCTGACTGCGGTTATCAATCTCTCTCTATTTTTTTCCCTCTTTTAAAAGTTGTGGAAAACACTATTGTGGAGTTTTTCTTTTGCTATGTGAACAAATGGAAATATTAAACATTTATTTAATGTCTCTCAGTCATTCACCACTATAGAAGTTTACCCATCTATGACGACTTCCGCTTCTGAGAAACCCGGAAATATGTTAAAATCACTCAATGTTGCTGTTTATTTTTTTATTTATTAAGGCAACATATGATACATTATAAAGACAGTGATATTTAACACGTCCATAATATTGCTGCGGAAATAATCGGGGGTTATTTATGGTCTGTTGTAGTTATTTGTTAAGGCTTTTTTACACTTTTAAATATCCGACGGTTAAATGGTGAATAGAATAATGAATGTCATTTTCATTGTACCCAGTTTTTGAAAACGAACCTTACGCTGACTGTTTAACGGAAGTTAAGTTACACCCATAATTCGCGCAAAGCGTCATGGGGTGTTGGAAAAAGATGGATTTACATGGAATTTTGGGGATTCGCCGTTTGGGGGCGCGCGGTATTTTTTTTTTATTCCTCTCGACTGCAGTAATGTTGTTGTGGCGTGACGTCACAGCCGTGAAGCCAAAGCGCAGAGAGGGCGGCCATGACTACAGTCTTCACAATTATTTAATCCCAAATAAATTACCCGCGGAAAACTTCCATGGCAAGAGCCACGAGTCAGATTGTGAGTACCGCTAGCGTCTTGGGAACGCGGGCTCGAAGCCGCCTCGCGCCGCGTTGCGCGCGCTGCTTGTAACGGCGATTTTTTGGGGGGTGGCGCGGGACGCTTGCGACCCGACTCTTTTGCTTAGCATTTAGCTTCATTAGCCCGCTAGTCCCCAAAACAAGCGCAGGTCTATTAACCAGGAAGTGTCAACTTTTGTTTCTTATCGTAATTTATACAGGGATTTCTGAATGAATTATTAGGCTAGATGTTGATATTTTTAAAAGAGCATTGTAGATAAATGCTCATATTGTTATGTGTTAGCGCTGCGAGCTAATTCTATCAACAAATGAAGTTGCTTGTTTTCTTAGCCGTTAGCCTGACCGCTAACTCACGATATAGGGTTTTGGTTCTGGCTGTCTTAAATCTGCTTTCGATTTACACAAATCATGTTTATTTCTAAGAATTAATTGAGAACATCCAGGGCTTGTTCTTAAGTCTCTGACTAACTACAACACCGGTTTTGTGTCAGTCGCGCTTCTAGCATAAGTCGCCTCAGGTTGTTTTGCCTCATTTGCGTCTCTGTTTGCTCTCAGTTTATCATTTTAAACCGTAATTAAGGGATAATTAGTTGTACTACATGTCTATAACGGCTTATTAACATGCTCATGTTATCACTGACTTAGTTAAGCATATTATTTCCACTGAAATGAACATACTCAGAGTTGCGGCCTATAAAAGTGGCTTAGAGATTTAAGGTTTCACCTTCTCATATTCTTTTGACAGCCTGTAATTATTACGTATAACGTCATATAGATCAGTAGACTAAGACAAAACCCTTATGAATATGATTGGTGATTTATCAGGCTCATTGGTGGGCCATTTTCAGGCACAGCATATAAAACTGGGTATGTAGGTTTGGATTTATCAAGTTGT